AAAACAGCCCAGGAAGAATATGCCATACGATTTCCAGTGAAGCGTCAATGTAAAGAAGCTTCAAGCGAGTCATTGTTTGCCGGGTGAACAAGAGAAAGAAGATTTTCATTTAGCTCTAAAACTACAGCAACAAGAAATCGAAATCGATTCCGATGGCGTAGAATCAGTCAACTGCAGTGAGGACGAAGACCAGATACAATGCGAAGCAAACGCGCCTGCGGCTTTGTTATGTTTAAAAAGTCGGCGTAAATAGAACAATGGCACCGTTAATACAAATGCTATATATATTGCTACTAAATGTTAATTGTTTGGTCTGCGCCCTGATCCTATTAGACGGACGTTGATATTTAGGGATGCACCATTATATTTGCGGCTAGTTCATATTTATTTTTTTGAGTTTGATTTTTCAACGGTATGAGCTTTATCGTTTGTACAATTTATTAAATATTAAGTTCCGAAAATTTATTTAAAATCTAAGTTTACTGAAGTTCGTATGAAATTCATACATGAATTTGGGAACTTTTGCGTTCAGCTTTGTGTTGATTATAACATTTTTTTTCCTGAAATCGACATGTTACATATTTCTATTTTTAGCAAATCCTATAGCTAATGATAAACAGATAATGATAAACATAAACAGACGCGCTTCGGGTTATGTTGTCTCTTCTGTTCAAAGTTATAACAGTGCGTTCAATCATCACTTTTTTCTATTCAAAGCTACTAGAAATACATGCATACAAAGTCCCAAATAAACATATATTTCCATCATTGAAATTCTATAATACTCGTTTCTGCTGAATGATCGGAGTCGCAAAGTAAAATCCTATATCTTGGTACAATTATAAAGTCTACTCTCGAGCTATCAAATTCGACTATAATCATAATTGTGCTACGAATTGCTTTAAAAATAATACAGTTTTAGCGAAATTTCAATTGCTTTTTAAACAGATTCACCATTAAAAATAAATACTTTTCAAATCAAAATCATTTTAACGAAATCAACGAATAAATTCAAAGAGGTGTCATACATTTGTTGATAAATCCACATATTTATAAACTTACAAAATACTTGCATGCTTTAGAATACAAAATCTACCTATTTACCTGTTCAAAAACACTCCAAAAATGCTTCAAAATCGTTGATTTTTCAACATCTATTTGAATCAAAGTTTTTCGATCCGAAAACACCATTTACTTTACGTTTTGATCAATTTTACGATTGAATTTTTCCGTATATTTTCAAAACCATCCAAATGAAAAATTTTTTTTTAAAAATTTTATAATTCAAAATATCAGTTATGCTGACGCGAACCAAAATTTTAATTTAGCCAATCGCATGCTTCCAAACGTTTGTTAGTTACCAGTTGTAACTCGTCTTAAACTTACGCATGCGCATAACTTACAAAAACCCCCAACATCCATGACATAATGGCGGACAACTTTCATTTCGCATTTGCATTCCCGGGCGTAATTAAAATCTCCGGGCGGAATTAGTACCCTCGCCCGGTGCTTCACACCGGCTCGGGGATCAAACAGTAATTGTATTCATTATTTTACTTCCTCGCCTCGTCCCTCGCCACTGCTCGGCTTTGCTTACGTAAGACTTTCTATACTTCAAGGTAACCTGTATATTCGAAAAATCCTTTCATGTCTCCAGGTGTAATTGCCTCTAATGAAGTGTACATGTTATATATGCATTCAGGAATTGTTATGTTCGTACAGTCTCCAAATCTATACTTCAATAACGTACGCATCTTTCCAAACACGTATTCTGCAGGGTTGAAATCGGGCGAGTAAGCAGGCATATATACCAGTTCTATGTCAATATCATTTAAAAATTCTCTTAAGATTCTGCCTCCATCGTAGTGATGGGTTCCGCAATTGTCCATAACAATAACAGAACCAGGTTCTAACACGGGCTGTCCAGTTCGAACATTTATAGAGTCGGAAGCTTCTTCAAAAAATTTGAGAAAATCTAAGGTATCTGCACTCCAGTCAACTGTATTTGCGTAATCTACGCCAGTTAGTGAACACATAAGGTTAACCGTTGTATTTGCAGTTTCGGCGTACCTCTGAAATTCTACCGCTCTTTCTCTCATCGGGGCATGCCCGTATCTTCGCGCAGTGTGCTTTGGTAATTTTAAACCACATTCATCAAAAAATTTGAGAGTATATGGATTTTTACCATGCAGGTATTCGATGAAAACCTGTGAATATGCCATGTTTTGTAAAGTGCATCGTTCTTGTGCAATTGTTACGAAATGCGAATATATGTAATTTAGCATTGTTAAAAAACACAAGGTCAATATCGACGAGGAACTTACTTGGGGAACACGTCATATAAAATGAAGTGTAAAGTAAATATTATTATGACCCTTCGGAATCACAAAATTACTTTTCCTGTCATAAGGTCACAGCCCATGGGATTTTCCTCCGAAACAATAGTATGTCGTACAAAGTACAAGTGTCACGACTCAAGAACATAAGTTCTTAGCGGATACTAGTTTATGTCAATCATGTCTTTGTTATATTTTGCTCGGTTAAGCACTTGAAGCCTTACGTCACTAAAAGCCTAATTCGATGAAATTATTTGTAAAATAGTTTATAAGTTGAGATACGGTTCACAGAGTAATAAGTTGATGCTTGTGCTTTAAGTTGATGATAAATAGTTTAAGTTGTGAACAAGTTTTAACAGTGATCGATTAAGTAAAAGACCAACTTGACTAGTGCGTCACCGGCCTTAAGTAAACAAAGTATGAGAGCTGGACCGAGCTTCTAACGCCAACCCACACTTACAACCTACAACGCTGATTGGATTGTGTGAATCACACCATCTTGCACAGGGCGTCTTCAAGATCCCCTCAAATTTTATTATAAAAGGAGGCGCACAGCAACAGAACATTCAGTGGACTAAACACGAGAGTGGACTAAAAAGAGTGGACTAAGCACGAGAGTGGACTAAACACGAGAGTGGGCTAAACACGAGAGTGGACTAAAAGGAGTGGACTAGTGGAGTAAAAAGTATATGAAACGTTGGAGAAGCTCAACCTGACAGAACAGACAGCCAAGACGAGAACAGAAAACAAAGAGGTCCGAAAGGACGAATAATCCGAAGAGAAGAGAAGAATGAGAAAGAAGAGAACTTTAGTGAACTTTAGTAAAAACGTTGTAAAAGATCTCCTACCTTGCGCATATAGAAATAACATAATATAGACTTAACATTTGGTGCAGGATCGGCCTTACAAAACGTTTCGGAAACTCAATCAGTCCACTATTAGTATATACTCACAAGAAATCAGAACAATCAATATTACAAACATTGCTTAGAAACAGGTGCTGAAGCGACCTGATGACTGGTTCGAAAGAAACGCACGCTCTGTATTTATCCATACTTCTACTTACGGCAATGCTAGACTTTGTTTCACGTTTTGGATGTCTCTTCAAGACAGCTGTCCACAACCTCTACACTTCCCATGAACTAGAATTGAAACTACAATCGTTTTGCCCTCAGTCTGCAGTCCAAGACGAGTTTGGCAATATGTTCTTCCTCTATCCTAATATGATGGCTATGTCGAATATCTAGCCAACGAGGTACCAGTGGAAGCCTCCGTGGTCGTTGAAATACGACTACTGAGAGTCTGAGACGTATGAAAGTTTCAGAATTTACCGGATCCTTCCTGATGGTCAGCGCGTTTATAAATGGACATGAAACTGGACACATTTTAAGATTTGTATAATTTAAGTTTTTGTCATTGACATGACATGTTACATGTATATGTTATTATGTCTGTTTTTGTTCGATAATATTAAACACGAGAGTATAGCTGTTCAACTAAAATTCCTTAGGTACACTCAGCATGCTCATTAAACATGTTGCCGTAGGATAGCGCATGCATGTTTTTAATTGGGTCAGTGTATAAATTTCATTCTGACGCTTTTAGTTATGCGTCATTCGTTGAAAATATATTTTTCTCTTCCCCCGGGACAGTCAAGGGTCTCCCAAACTTGTTGTAATAGATTATAATTCTTTTTAAGCTAAAAGCTTAAATATTAGGCACATTCTTGTTTTCTCTATGTAGACTCGGTATTATATTGTTGATGAAAACCTACATTTTGGAGTTTGGTTTGCTGTGCATGGCGTTTAAAATTTAAAATGAGTTTCAGTAATATTAAGAAATATACGTGTAAAATTTGTTTGCATGAGTTGAAATATTTTGAAGAATTATTAAGACGTATATATAGGTTTAGGTTATTATTATGGAGAGATGTTTTGTCGGAAGAGCTTTATAATAATTTCCTGTTATGTGAAGTTGATCAACCAAAAATCTGAATACAATAGACCTTATGCATAATGACGTCATAACACCTTAAGCGCGCGGTTAATTATGGTCTTTGTGGTCACAGAGCGGGAAAATAATTTCAAGATGGCTACTGTCGAAAGTGAGTGTTTTGAAGTTCTTAACTGTCTTTTAAAGGCTGTTCAAGCCAACGAGGATTCTAGTTCTTTTGAGAACTCTTGCACGGATCCTCTGCGGTTGGATAACTCTGAAAGTCAGTGCACTAGTCGGCTTTCTTCGTCGAATTTTACGAGGCCATGTGGAGGTGCTGGAGGTTATACGTGTTGTGTTCCTGGTTGTTAAAGCAACCACAAAAGGAATCCAGAGCTTTCCTTTTATAGCATTCCTAGTGGTAAAAGTGAAGAGTCGAAAGAACTTCGAAAGAAGTGGATTAATCTCATTTCACGCAGGGATTTCTCTCCTACAATTGGTCATAGAATTTGTTCGTTGCATTTTCCTGGGGGACGTAAAACCTATTTAAACAACCTTCCTACGATTGTTCCCAAAGCAACCAGACCTACACCAACGAAACCTCGTTCAACGGTAAAGGCAAAAAATCGGACTCTTGTATCATGTACAAAATCTGTACCTGCTAAACGCAGACCTTTTTCAGAACTTGATGATAACAATAATTCATCACGCTCAATAGAAGAACCAGATAAAATGGCTACACCTGTAAATGAGAATATTGATCCTATTGCTTGTTTACAAGAACAAACGGAAAAACTTTTAGCAACTAATGAGAAACTTAAGGAGGAGAATGGAAGACTTAAAAATGAAAATAAATGTCAAAAAGATGAGATAAGAGGATTAACGGAGCAACTGGAACAAGAGAGGAAAAGAATACGTTTTTCAATTGAATGTTTTAAGGACAATGACATTCTCATTAGGTTTTATACGGGGCTGGAAGACTACAAAACCTTCAAAACATTGTTTGATTCATTTGGACCGGCAGTGAATAATCTGGTGTATTATGGTACCAAGACTGATTTGGAAAGGTTAAGCTCTGAAGATGTAATTAAACGTGGACCTAAAAGAACAAATTCACCTGAACAGGAATTTTTCCTTGTGTTGGCTCGCTTGCGATTGGGGCTTTTAGAAGAAGATATAGCGACCAGAGCTGGGTTGTCTCAATCACATATGTCAAGAATATTTATTACTTGGGTTGACTTCTTGCATTCAAGGTTATGTAGCTTTCCAATTTGGCCATCCAGAAAAGCAGTTGATAATTCAATGCCAGCTTCATTTAGAGATATGTATCCTTCGACACGAGTTATTATTGATTGCACAGAAATATTTATTGAAAAACCAAATTCTTTTAGAAGTCAAAGTGCAACATTCTCCACTTACAAAAGCCACAACACTGCCAAGGGTTTAGTTGGCATAAGCCCATCAGGAGCTGTCACTTTTGTATCGGATTTGTATGCAGGAAGATCAAGTGATCAACAAATTACTATTGATTGTGGAATTCTGAACTTGGTAGAAAATGGAGACTCAATTATGGCTGATAGAGGATTTGATATTGAGCACAATTTACCAGATGGAGTGTCACTAAATATACCACCATTCATGCGTGAGAAAGAGCACTTGTCAATTGAAGAGGAAACCAAGACTCGAAGAATAGCTTCTGTTAGGATCCATGTGGAGCGGGCAATTGCCAGAATAAAGAACTTTAAAATTTTAAGTACAGTCTTTCCAATTTCCATGGCAGCAAATTTAAACAAAATTTGGGTGATTTGTTGTTACCTTTCTAACTTTTTACCACCACTACTTGTAGAAAATAACAAGCTGGACTAGATGATAGTTTTTCTGCAATCCTCCTGCTTTATTATTTATTCGGCCTAACAAGATGATTTTACCTGACATTGACATGGCTGGAGTTAACCTTTTAAAAGGCAACCCTATAGCATTTCATTCTATCAAAGGCTTAAAATTTACCCATAATAAAGGCTAGGTCCAAAACATTTTCACATTAAATCCATTGTAGGCTGTGAAACTTTATTAAACTTTGTGTGTCCTACCCCTTAATGGTTAAACTATTCTTTAACCCATTAAGTGCCAGGGTTTCCCCAGACAAGTAAAATCATCTGGCGTTTGTTAAAAAAAAATAAGTAGGGTGCACTGGGGCACTTTGCCAGTTAATGAGTTAAAGGTATTTGCATCTATTATTTGGAATTTTTAACAGAAATATACTAGAGTAGAGGGGTAACCTTCACCTTACTCCCAATAAAAGCCTTTGAAAGTTTTTAGAGTGTTACAAAACTGTAACCATTTTGTGGCTCAAACTCTTTAACCTATTAATTAAAGTGGCAATGCACCCCAGTGCTCCCTACTTATTTTTTTGACAAACACCAGGCGATTTTACTTGTCAATGGGAAGCCCTGGTGCTTAATGCAGTGGTGCAGCCAGCCCAACAAATTAGTCATGCTATGCAAATTTTAACTTATTATTCATTTCTTTAGAAATTGATTGTTTTCATGGTCTATGAACACGAAATTATTTGCATAGCATGACCAAATTGTCAGGCTGGCTTCGCTACTGGCTTAATGCGTTAAGCAGCAATGCACTCCGATGTGCCCTAGTTTATTATTTTACTACATGTCTAATGCCAGATGACTTGTCAAGTAGAGAGTGTTGCCACTCAATGGGTTAAACAACAGTAATAACGTGTTGCTTGAGGACAGGATTTCATTAGTCAATGAAGTTAATCTAGGAAATTAGCTTCTCGAATTATCACAGTTGATACATATACTTTACCTTGCTCCTTCAATATTGTCTTAATTAAGTACTATTTAAAGCATGCACAGGAGTGTTTTATCATATTTAAAATGCAAGTGCGCAGCACGAGCATTTCACATATGATAAAACAGGACTACAAATGCTTTAAATGACCAAAAACATGAATACAATAGATGCTGTCTCATTAGTATTCTTTGTTGCTGATTAGTGGACTGTATATAAAGAATACTAATGAAGATGAGTTTTATCAGGTATATAGCCACTTCAAGTGACATATTTTGGTATAAGTAAAAAAGCCAGTAAAAAACAATTGATGTGTGTTTTATTAATGTCATTTACAAGAAGGAAGAATAAATGAAAAGTAAAATGATGTTAGTTCTGGCAGCATTTTGTTCTCCCACAAAGAAGTGTCCTTATAGATACGCTGAACATGCATATCAGCATTGGTGTATACCACAAAATCAATCCAGGGTAAATTTAAAATGTTCAAGACACCTTGACATTGATAATAATATGCATGGTTCACTTTAAGTTCTAATCCACTTTCGTTTTTTTAAATAAAAACCTTTGACACTTTGTGCAGCTTCATTAACATTCATTTCTTTCACTGAGTAAGGACACTTAACTTCAATGCATCCAACTGGAATACCATCTTTTATGACAATTCCATCAGGGCTACAACCCAGCCATGGCCACTGGGGACTGATGACTAACCCACAACATGTGACAAAAGCACTGCCTTTTAATGTTACATCTTGATATTTAGCAATTGCATTACTTTCATTATCCAGGCCCCACTGTACAGATGCAGGCACTTTTCTTTTCTCATGATCAACACATAAAATTGATTCAATCAGTGAAGCTGGATGGTTTTTCTTTCTACGATTGATAACTTTGCCAAAAATTGAAGCAGTAAGCCTTTTAGATCGTTCAGCGTACCATTGAGGATCTTTGTTTTGCCTCATAGTACTCAAACATATATCCTTAGCAGTGGATACAGTCAACCCAACTTTTGTTTTACTAGTTCTAGTTGTTCTGGGCTATAATCTGATGGAGGGGTGTAACCATTTGGCACATTTTTAAAGATCTGATCAACCAGTTGACTTGGTGGTATTTGCGTTGGAATAGGAACAGAGCTGTTGTCCAGTTTTCTATTTT